AGGAGATTAGGAAGGCCAGGTATAAGATTGAAAAGCTCAGCCATTCCCACACCAGCTCACAGCTCCAAGCAATCTGCAGAATCACTCAGTGATGCAGTCAAACTAGTTTTTAATCACTGCTTATCAGTCAGCCTTGGCAGTCAGAAAGCCAGCAATAAGATATTTGGAAAATAATTTTGTCATTTTTTTCATTTGGGCAAGAAGAGAAGGTTGCAGAAAATTAAAATGTGGCCAGCCATTTACATATTCAGAAAGGGATCTCAGAGGAGCAGCTGGATTGCACAGGACAAGCAACAATGGAAAGTAGAGAAAGTTTTACTTGGAGAAGCTCACCAAAGTGAGAATTGCATTGGATAGGAGGATGCTCTCAGGTGCCAAGAACTAGTCAAATCCAGAACTCAATAAATATTTATTCACAGCTTCTGTAAATTTAGAATAAAATCTGAGGCAGAGCCTGGTGAGTCTGCAATGAAAGGGTTGCAGACTTCAGCTTGCCTAAGTCATCAGAAAAAGGCATTGATTCCACTCAGCCCTTCAATAAAAAGATTCTATACTAAAATCTCCAGCAAACAATAGAGGTAGCAGATAAGTGGACTGAAAAGAAATAACTTCTGTAAGCAGTATGAGCCCAGCACCCTCAGTGGAGGTACATAAATAGTTAAAATGTTTTGAAGCAAGTTTTAGGTATAGCAAATCACCATGGAAAAAGTTAATGAAAATTTAGGCCTAAACCTGTGTTCATTTCGGTTCCCTGATTGTAAAGGAAAGAGAACCATAAAGATCTGAAAATAATTTGGAAGGGTTTTTATTAAGAGAGAAGCACCACAGAAAGGACGACATTTGTAGTGATGCACAAGACATTACAATAATTAATTAGATGCATTCAGTAGCAGATTTGGATGAAGTATAGTACCTAAACCATGGTGAGGTTCTCTGAACCTTGCAAGGGTGAGAGGAAATGCACAGAAAAAGGCAAGTCAGTGATCATGTGGTTACTTTATTTATAGATAACTATGGTGAGCCTGATCAGAAAAATCTGTTTTGAGCTTTTCTTAACATCACAACGCTTTGCTCAAATAATTTATGATCAAAGGCTTTGCAGGTAATCATTGATTAAATGGCAGTAAARTGCATTGTTTTACATACATGACAGCACATGCTGTAGGTCAAGACAGCAGGGTTTGTTTAGGCAACACTGATCTCAAACAGGCTTAACCAGCTGGTCCAGGTAATGCACACATCCCTTGGGTGTGATCATCCACTCAAACTCCAAGTCGAGCGGATTGTTGGATCAAGTCCAGCTCTGGGGCCCTCAATATCAGGAGGGCATGGACCTACTGGAGCAAGTCCAGAGGTTTATGAGGATGATCAAGGGGCTGGGGAGAGAGACATGCTGAGAGAGATGGTGCTGTTCAGCCTGGTGAAGGGAATGTTCCACGGAGAGCTTATAGCACCTTCCAGTACCTAAAGGGAGCTACAGGAATGACAGGGAAAGACTTTTTGCACAGGCAAGGCAATGACAGGACAAGGGGGAATGGTTTTAAACAATGAGATAGTTTAGGTTAGATGGATTGCCTCGAAGTGTTAGGTGCCAGGTTGGCTGGGGCTCTGAAAAACCTGGTCTAGTGGAAGGCARTGGTTGGAATGAGATGAGCTTTAGAGTGCCTTCGAACCCAACCATTCTGTGAGTCCATTAAGTAATTGTGCTAAAGCCACAAACTGACCTTTAACTCTGGATGGGTGGTAGGATTGGGCTACAGCTCAGGGTGAAAAGACATATAGTGTTTGAAGACAGTTAAAGAATTAAGAAAGGACTTCTGGTCACAAGGCAAGTCTGATCCTAAAATCAGAAATAGCTTAAAACAACAAAGTGAAAAAAAATTAAGGTACGATTTGCATTTACTGAAAAAATAAAGATAGAGACAAAATTAGGACACAAAAAGATAAAATGAAGAATGGAGGACCATGAAAAGGACGTGACCCTGTGACCAAYTGTTTTCTATTGGTTTGTTTCATAGCACCACCTGCAGCAGGCAGGATAGTCAGCCTGCCATTCTGCATGTGGTCTAAGGGTTCAATTCCTCTCCCAGCCCAGGTATGTTCTGTAGTCTSTGACTTTTGATGTCAGCTCTGGTGCTTTGTGGTAACCTACAGGTAGTGGCTGAGTAGCCTGGACAAACGGGCTACTGCTGCATGTGCTTTGGTTCTGGCATTCAGGACACTGCTACTTTCAAATCTTGGAAGGTGGAAAGGCACTTACCCTCTTGGTCCTCCATAGGGCGGTTCTGGTGCATTTTTCTGGTTTTCTTCCTCTTCTGCAGAAGCTCCTTAAGCAGGTCATGTGATTCTACTTTAACCTTCCTCTCTCTATTGGAACCTTCCAGGTTACAATATTCCTTCCCCATTCTCATTTTCAGGTTTTTCTGGGAACATGAAACATTACTGCTCAATACAGCATGTTCTCCATATTCAGCTGGCAGATTGTTGTTACTTTTTACTACAGTAGCCTAACTTTATTTTTATTTGACTCTCCAATTTGTTTCTTCTAAAAACTCTTTCTTATCTTCCTCTGTAACATAAGTATCTTAAACAAAACCGTGACACACCTTACTGCTATAAAGAATTCCTCAGCACACTGTAGTGCACTGAAAACATTTGTCTAGCACAGAGCAGCTGGAGGAGATGTTAATGCCACATTTTATAGTTTGGTTTTAAATAAAAGAGAAAAAAAAAAAAAGTGGACAGTATTTATTATGAAATTTCAGTAGGAATATAGTTGGTTTTAACATTTTTATTAAATTCCTTTTTCTGTAATACTTTTGTGTCTTATCTGCTCTCCTGCTCAGTCCTCCACTCTTACACGTGTGATGAAAAAAAMCCAAATTTTTAGAGGGGCTTCTTTATTAAGTGCTAAGAGAGTAAGCATGGGAGAGAAAACAAAAACCAAAAGACAGCACTAAGTTTACATGATGCTTCTTGTACTGCAAACCATGATCCAAGCCCGCAAATCTTCCATTTGAGATTAGCTCATTTAGAATTTAGCAGGTCCTGTGATTTCGCCGTATCCCATAAGCAAAATAAGAGGCTTTCTGCAGCCTTTGGTAATGCTTACCTTGTTTCACTTTTAAGCCTTAGGCACATCAGAACATTGAAGGGAATTTCTACACATCAATGTCTTTATACCTGACAAAAAAGGAATCTCAGTGAAGCTGCTAACAGTTCTAATATTGCTGTATTTTAAATTAAAGTGTAGCATTTTGCTCTGCTTGCAGCCGAGAGTTAAACACCTCACAGGTCTTGTTAAGGACCATTTCTTAAGGATACCTGGTACGGATATCTGGCACTGTTAATACTATTTATTAGTTTGAAAACAATAGGATCCATTCATGCTATGTAATTCCAGTCCCTACATTCTCCCCCACATTTTCTGTAAAACCTCAGACATATCAGATGGATCCAGCAGACAAAGAAGGAAAAGGAGGGGGCTGGAACACATGGGGGGGTCAAAGATCTGGGATTATTGTGCTTCTTCTCAGAAATGAAGGCTAAGTGGGGACATCAATTGCTATCTTCAGCTGTATAGAGGTTAAAGTGAGGTAGACCCTYCTCAGAAGAATAAAAAATCAGGGCAGAGGACAAGATGAAACAGTCACATGTGGCATCAAAGGACAGCTCAATTTCAAACATGAGGAAAAAGATCTCTGTGGTTGCAGTTAAGCACAATGCAGGACTGTCCAAGGAGGCTGCAGAGTTTCCATCTGTGAACATTTTCAGACCCCAGTGGTCCAAATCATGAGCACCAGGATCTAGCTTTAGCATTAGCCATATTTTGAGCAGAAGATTGGAAGATTGGATGACATAACCTCCAGAGATCACTTTCAGTTATAACTCTATTTTTTGAATCCATAAAAAAAAAAAAAAAAAAAAAAAAAAAAAGCAAAAAAAAGCTGAAACCTTTTATCACAGACACCAAAAGAAAAAAAAAATTACAGAACAAGCCTTTCAACCAGGGTTATGGACTAAATATTATTCTCTTCCTTCTCCTTACCTTTGCTTTAATATAATAAGACAGTTACTGGGAAGAAGAAAATGTATTTCAGCAATAAAATTTAAATTCTTTGTAAAATGTCCTCCCCCAAAACAMTGACAGCTCCAAAGCATAATGTGATGTTTAAGTTTAAATTTTTCTTAGGTGAAGATAAAACATACACAAAAGAAGAGTGACCAGTATTTTCTGGCACACTCAAGAGCAACACAGATTTGAAGAAGGCATAAAGAGTCTCAGTACTGGTTGTAACGCTGAGTCAGATGCAGAGGAGTTGCTGGGAAGGGTCAGCCCAGCCGAGAAAGTTTCCAGGACTACATCACAGCCAACAAATTATATTTAGTTGGCAAGAATATTGCGCACACCATAAATTCCAGGGTACAGTTACAGCAAGACGCTGCTGCCCTCGGTGTGGTCACACACGCCTTTTGGGTACCCATGCATTAAATTGTCATAACCTTTCTCCTACATCACGTCTATGCCTCCCATTTCTTTCYGACCTTTGCTCATCGTGTCTGAAATCGATGGTATCACGCACTGGAATTTGGGGGTGTTTTCTGAGCAGTTCCAGGGAACTGGAGCCGGCTACAAGGCTCTTTCTCCTGGCCATCACAGGGGAGTCACTATTTGATTATTTGAACAAGGCGTACCATCCCCGCAGGTTACATGTCCCTGGCCCCCCTCTAGGAYTAAAAATCGGTCCCTGCCGGCGGGGCAAGGAGGGCGGGAGGGCGCGGAAGGGGGGGCACATCGGCTTCGCGCCTGCACCCCGCGCTGTGCCCGGGGCTCCCCAAAACCATCGGGGACCGGCTTTGCCCCGGCGGGGCGCAACCCCAGCCCTCCATTTCGCGTAGGGGCGGGCTCGGAGCGGGCCCGCAGTCGGCGGAAGATGGTTCCCCGCCGCTCGCCACCGCCCCCGGGCGCGGCGCCACGGGGATGGGCACTCGGTGACGGGGCGGCGCCTGCGCTCGGCCGGGGGAGCGCGGGGCTGCGGCGCGGAGCGGAGCGGGCGGCACCGGCGCCATGACCGCGGCGATGCGGCAGCGGTTCGACCGCTTCTTACACGAGAAGAACTGCATGACCGCCGTGCTCGAGCGGATCGAGAGCAAGACCGGCGTCAGCCGCACCTACATCGCCACCGGTGAGCCCCAGCCGCCGCCGCCGCCGCGCCGGTTCCCCGCGGGCGGCCGCGCCCTGCCTGCGCCTCCTCGTTCCGCTCCCCCGGGCGCTGACAGCTCTCTCCTCTCTCCTCAGGCATCCTCGGGATCGTGGCCGTGTATCTGGTGGTGGGGTACGGCGCGTCCCTGCTCTGCAACATCATCGGCTTCGCCTACCCCGCCTACGTCTCGTGAGTGTCGCGACTCCTGCCCCTCTCGCCCCACGGTGGTCCCGGGTGCCACCGACCGATGTGGTTGCAAAATCGCATCCCTGGCGCCGGTGCCGAGCCTGTCAAGGGTGGCATTCCGGGGTCACGCTCCAAAGTGTTGTTTTTGCCGCCCACCCCTTTCCTTTGGCAGGTACAGGTGCCGGGTGCCAAGTGAGGAGCGAGGCTTCTCCCATCTGGCGAGTGCTACGTCAGGAGTCACAGATGGGAGACGCTGCGCCGTTTCCACACTTGGTAACCCGCAGCGGATTGTGCTTTGGATTTGGGTTCCCACCTTTGTCATTTCCAGCGGGAAGCTGGGTCTTTTACCCGGCTGCTGGTAACGGGAGGGAGGATCGCTGTTTTGAGGGTGTTTGTTGAAACTCGCGGTGATGCTTTGAGCGGGGGCAGGAAGGCACCGGGGCATCGTCAGCGTATGCCTGATACAAATTCTGGGTAATGTAATGGGCTGGAGACAGAGGTGCAGTAAGGAGTGAGATTTACTCCAAACCCACATCCCTGATGAAGGAAGGGAAGGAAAACGCTGTAACTAACGCCTCTCGGGTGAGAAAGACTTTTAAATACTTCCTTTTTCAAAGGAAGGCCTCCTTAGATATTCTTAAAAACAAGGTAACTGTTACCTTTCACATGAATTACATAGTCCTTTAGAACAAAATGCCTTTCCTGTTAGGCAGAACCACAGTCGAGTATTTTCCAAATACAGAAACGTGCTGAATAAGACCTTCTGTGTAATCTAATGCATTCATAAAATTGAAGTCCTTTCCCACAGGACTGCTATATTGTTGAAACCCAGTGCTTTCCTTTTATGTAACTCTTATTTAAATACAGGCGCAGCTTGTAAAAATGTGTTCTCTGTAATTGGATCCTGGGCAATACAAAATCAGTTGGGGTTTGGTTTTT